TCCCATACTCTACCACTGAAGTGTTGTTCAATCTTACAAGGAGTGCTTTTAACAGAGAAGAAGCATGCCTACTTCGAAGATTATCATGCATGTTTGTCCTTCTCATATCAATTGGTCCCCCAAACCTGCCCTTGAGCATTCGTTCTTTCACTTGAGATTGTCTCAAAACTGTCAAGACACCCCCTGGTTATCTTACTCAACGATTTATCATCAGCTCATCTATAACAACAATAATTTAAACCTTAGTTTACCCACAAAATTCTCCACTACTACCTTGTTTCTTGGCTACTGCTGATTGTAGGATCCATCCTGTGGCACAGAAACTTGGGTTTCGTCTTCAGCCATGTTGTCTTATCTGTGGTGCTCTATCAAAAAGCTGTACAACTTACCAGCTCCGTCCATTTGGGTAACACTCACACTGGAGCTCCAATGTCTCCTAGCTCACTGACTGCAGTGCACTTTTCCCTTGCCTTGACAAATGGAATGCAGGTCCAACCACAACCATTCACTATAGAATCATAGAATCGTTAAGGTTGGAAAAGACCATTAAGATCGAGTCCAACTGTTAAACTAGCACTGCCGAGTCCATCACTAAACCATGTCCCTAAGCACCACATCTATCTGTTCTTTAAATATCTCTAGGGATGGAGACTCAACCACTTCCCTGGGCAGCCTGGTCCAATGCTTGACTACACTTTTGGTGAAGAAGTTCTTCCTAATATCCAACCTAAACCTCCCCTGGCTCAGCTTGAGGTCGTTTCCTCTCGTTCTATCACTTGTTACTTGGGAGAAGAGTCTGACCCCCACCTCGCTACAACCTCCTGTCAGGTAGTTATACAGAGCAATAAGGTCTCCCCTCAGCCTCCTCTTCTCCAGGCTAAACAACCTCAGCTCCCTCAGCCGCTCCTCATAAGACTTGTGCTCTAGACCCTTCACCAGTTCCGTTGCCCTTCTCTGGACACGCTCCAGCACCTCAATGTCCTTCTTGCAGTGAGGGGCCCAAAAGTGAACACAGCATTCAAGGTGCAGCCTCACCAGTGCCGAGTACAGGGTGTGACCCAAGTGCAGGAGCCGGCACTTGGCCTTGTTGAATCTCAGAGCTGGCCCCGGCCCATCGATCCAGCCTGTCCAGGTCCCTCTGCAGGGCCTTCCTATCCTCCAGCAGATCAGCACTTCCACCCAACTTGGTGTCACCTGCAAACTTACTGAGGGTGCACTCAATCCCCTCATCCAGATCATCAGTGAAGATACTGAACAGGACTGGCCCCAGTACTGAGCCCTGGGGAAATGCTACAACAAACACCCTTTTCCTAACTCCCTGCCCACTTCCCATCAGTCCTCTGCTCCTCTCCACAGATTCCTCATCTACCCAAAAAATGGTACTTGCTCTCCTTCTGAAGGCCTTTCATGGCCTCTGTCTTCAGCCTACACTCTTATCCTGCAGTATGTTTTTAATTCTTGCCTCCTGTCAGCTCACAATGACAGCTTCCAACATATCTGTCATACTTTCAGGCAAGTACCTGCCACATTCCTGTGATTTGGAAGCTCGTATTCGGAAAAAGCACCTCAAAAATCAGCAATACAGACCATTTCTAGAAATAGCCCCTTTAAATCTTTTTCACTATGGAAACTGCAGTGAAAGTTGATGGTTGCTATTCTATTAGTGTCCAAACCACTGCATATCATGCTCATCGGTACAGTCCTTCCTCTCACCATACTTTGTCAGTTTACATCCAGACAGTCTAGCATTTCACATTTTTGATTCAAGTCTGTGGAGCAGGACCCCATCTTTAGTTCTGTTTGTGGAACTTAACCGATTAATTGGGAGATATTTCAGGCTTCTAAGTACTAAAATACTTCAAAAATTCAGCCAGTAGGACATGTAGACAAACTAGCATAACCCTGCATTCACATATTTGCTTATCCTTATTTTGTCCTTTCCCCTCCCACAGTATGTAGAGATTTCAAGTACTGTTCCATGTTACTACGCTGTTTCATGAACCCCCCAACTAGCCAATGTCTGATAGACTACATACAAAATATTTTGCCTGTATGATTACTTGTTCTATGACACCACTTGAGCTCTTACCTTAGTAAAATTATTCAAGTGACCTAGTTTCCTCATATTTGAAACGCCTTGTAGTTTGGCCACATTTTGAAGAATCTCTCTCATATTATCACAGGGTTCTGCAAATGAAAACAGGTTATTAGCAGGTACAGTTGAAAAAAAAAAAAACAAACAAAAATCTAAACAGGCATTCAATATGCAGTTTCCTAAATATAACAGGTACTCTCCTGGTCTTAATTAAGGATGCAGATCATTTTTGCCTCAAGAAGCATCGATTTGATTTATGCTTAAAACCAAAACCAAGCGTACCTGAGTTCTCTAGAATAAATGCTAAAGCCCATGATGGAGAGAGAATCCTATTTTAAAGCAGATTTTAGTCAATAGCTTAGATTTACAATTGACAAAGAAATCCATTTAGCATCTGAAACTCCGGTCCTAACGTCTCGCAACTAAACAGCTTTATCCCTAATAACCCTTGTAATTTAAAGGCAAGAAGTAAACTTAAAGACAGAAGTAAAAAGACAGCATGTTACTGTCACACCACATGACTTCTTTTTTCCCTCCAGAAAAAGCATTGGTGGGATTTTGTGAAGATGGGACTCTCTTCTGCTCTCCATATTCATCTCTGTCCACAATCACCCTAAACTTACTAGAGGGCTGGGACCTTCCATTGACATGGGAAATCAACTACAAGGTAAACAGGGGGACTAGAAAGGTCTTCTCCTTTCTTCCTAAGGGTCCACCATCCCAACAACAACAACAGAAAAAAAACCCAAACAAAACCCCGCAAACCAGGATTCAGACACCAACTGATGACCCTACATTCTGATGGGAAATGGGAAAGGACTACCAAACATTGTGAGAAGAGACAATATTGCCCCACCTTCGGGAATGAGGTTTGGAGTCGAGGCAGAGTGGGACAAGCAGCACAGAGTGGGGCTCGGCACAGAGAGCTGCACATAGAGCTACTGCAATAGAAACTGCAGTAAGCTCTGCACATGGCGGTATTGTGGCAGGACAGTTTTCAAAGGGTTGACTGCAGGGATCTCATGCAGTCTTGGAGCAGACACTGTGTCATAGGCACTACAACACCACTATCAACAGCATTGTAGCTTGAAATAAATGAAATACCAAGGCTATGCAGGAGATGTGAACTGTTAGAAAGTATTACATTACCAAAAATGAAAAAATTGCATTACATAGAATGAAGTCTTTAGAAAAAGCCTGAAGAGTCCAAACACCAGACATGGAAAGCAGCAAAGACAGGGTTTTGTGTGTGGTGCCCCATGCTAACTTCAGTAAAAGAAACTTGCTTCGTACTGAAGTATGAACAGCTACAGCTGAATTTGTAGCACACACAGTCTTTCACTCCCCTGTTCATCCTGAAAGGATATTTGTATATTTTCATTATACAAAGGAAATCAAGTGTCAGAGATTTAAAGAAAGCACATTCTTCACCTCTCTACAAACCAAGCCAAGTTTTTTTTATCAACTTCCGTAGTTTAAAAACTTAGAAGAGCAACAAATTTGAAAAAGCAGACATAACTAGCAATTTCATCAGGATATATCCAGAACGCACTAGAAATAGTTTACATCATAGGCCCTAATTTCAAGGGAGCATAATAGGAGTGGAAAATAGCTTCCTCATAATTTGTTTGCCTTGAAAATACAGTTTGGCCGATTTCTACACTTTGGCCTGCCTTGTGTAATAGGTGGGAATTTCCCTGTCTCGCACCACTTCTGGACCTGTAACATACCCCATTACACCACAAGAAAGATCTCAGGTGAGCAGCCTTAGAGCTCTACAGAATGATCTACTTCAATTCCCTGGAGAACAAGCAGCAACAATAACTTTCAAAAATTACTGGAAATATGCTTCTAAGTTTTAATTTTGAAAGTGCAGATGGCTACATACCCGAGATAAACCTCTACTGAAACTAAGCTCATCATACGGACAGGAAATGACCGCAAGACTAGCCCAGGCAACCTCTTGTGCGTCACTGGTGATGACCATTTCTGCTCAGCTACCTGATAGAGTGGGCGCTAACTCAGAAGCCAGCAAGGCGTGCTGTGGAGAAAGGCAGCCAATTCGGATGTGAAGAAACCAGGACATGATGATGCTACCGCTTCCCATGTTAACAATTCTGTAGCAACTGCAAGCCTTTATAATGAGGCTGCCTAATTAAAATGTGCACTAAAACCATTTTACTCTACATGTATATGAAAAACTGCAGTTACAGCAACTTTTCCTCATATTGTCCTCTTTTTGCTGAGAAAAACTCTCATTTGTGGAAAGACAGAAAAGTTTGAGGAAAACCACCTTTGTAGTGCTTAGCAGAGCAGCCAGGTATTTCCCAGAAGCTTCACTAGCACATAAGCAATTTCAAGCAAAGTGGGGACTCCAGTATAAGATCTACAACACTGTGAGAAAACTGAGAACATGACAGACATTTCTACTATCAAATTGGTAATATGAATACAGCAAGTTAGCTGGCTCGCACTTCGATTATATCAACAACACTACTGCTGTAGAAAAAACAAGATAGTAAAGATAAATTCCCTTTAATAGCACACTACCTCACAAAGAACTAAGATTATAGAAGCCTTTTTGGTAAAGCCTTGTCAATTCAAGTCGTTTTAAACTTCAGAAGAACCTTCTTGCAAAAAATCTCTTCCAAAAAAGTTAACAAAAGATTTGTGACGTATTAACTTCAAGGAAACACTGGCTATCCTGTTTTTCCTCTTCTGGAAATGCATCATATATTAAAAAGTAGCAGAAAATTTACTTAGTTACTTAAGTGTCACTAATTTTTATTACAAATAGAACCAACGAGGAAGGCAGGAAGGCCTAGCAGAACTTCACATGTGGCAGATGTAAAAGAATTTAAACAAAATAACGTGACTTCACAAATGGAGATATAGTCTTTTACTAGTCTGTCCCTTACATTAAAATGGGCCTGAAAATAGGCTAAATATATTCTGGATTCTATGAACTATGCGATGTGGCTTTCCTGTAATCAAAGATCAGATCCAGTACTGCCTATCTTCCTCTCACAAAATCTCACACAACAGCAATGAAGAACATGGATCAATGCAGAAATGGAAAAAAAAACACAGCACAAAATCCAAGACCGATCTCCTAAAAGAAGAAATATCATGGCCTTAACATTTCACTGTCAAGCTTAACAGGTCATGTTGGTGTTGACAAGAACTTCTGTTTGGGTTTTTTTGTTTTTTGTTTGGTTGGCTTTTTTTTTTTTTAAGGAGCCCTGTTCAGACCACTGCTACAGAGATTTCTTAGCTCTGATTAACCCTTACTCTTTAGCTCTTCAGAAGTTCTTTCTTTTCTATCTGAAAAAAGAAAAAGAAGAGAAGCTCTTGTTATAATTTTAAGACCCCTCAAAAGTCTGTTCTTTCCTGACTTACCTCATTTATTACTGAGATGCTGACTCATCTTGAACTGGACCATAGCAACAACCAAATATCTTCGCATTCTTTCCCGTGGTGCTTCTGAGGGTGGAGTTGTGCAAAATGACCGAGCTGATCTTACAGCTTTCTTCTGGCAAAAGATGCACAACCCCTTCCCTTACTTTCATTCCCTCTACCCTGTCCCACTGCCTGATACAGCCTATCCTTTACTCTATTCCAGTACCCATCAACTTCACATTAAAATAATTCTGCTAACTTACTCAGCAGAATACTTTCCATTCTTTTGGCTATGTTAGCTTTCTGCTGGATTACGGAGTCAAACTGAATACTAAAGTCTTACAAAAATCCACACAGAAGTGGCTGTGTCACTGAGTCATTCACAGGTAGAGTGCTGGAAGCAGGACATACCCTTGCCACAAGAGATTCATTAGAAAAAAGTCAGACTATCTTTTTTTTTTTACCTGCACTTTTACACTTGGCAAATTGTCCCAATTAATGTACACAAAGCCACTTGGCCTCAAATCTCATCTAAAAACTTGTTGATACATACAATAATTTCAAGCCAGCACACTTGTGTTCTGTAATAACAACTTCGCTTGCTGATCATTACCATCTCATCTTCTGTGTATGTGTCTTCTTTTTTTGGACAGCAAGCGCTTTGAAATAGTAGGTGTCTGTGTTCTGGGTACTTCTGCTACACCAAACACAGTTTCTCACCCACAACTCTTTGCACTGAATAACACCTGGTATGTATAATGATAATCGTCAGCACAGAGTGAAATTGGTGTTTTTAAAACCCTAGCCTCAAGAATTCCATGCCTCTGTATGTCTTAAAGTAATTCATAGATGCCTGTATATTAAAAATCTTCAAAGTTGTGGTGTTGTTTGTTTTTAAACTCTCATGACCTTTTTGGGCTTGACTCATTTTTTCACCCCTTCAGGACTGTGTCATTGTTTTTCCCCAGTGAGAATCATGATGCATTCTGACAGATCCCATTCTCCAGAGAGAAAGAACACCGCAGAGCTCCAGCTACACAAAACATCTAGCGCTCCACCTAATGCAAGGATGAAACAGGACCAGCAATAGCTATATTAGCACTAGTGATGACTCCTTTCCCCTGACAGATTTAGCAGCATTGTTTGACCACATTCAGTACACTAGCAGCATGCCAGTTTGCTATTCTGTTACGCAGATGTGAATAAAAAGCAAACAAAAAAAAAATGGTAGGCTTTAGCACACAAATAATTCAGTAACTCTGAAATCAGGCATAATGAGTTACTGTGAGGAGTGCATATTCTATATGCATCACTCGGTAGATGCTAGGACAGTAGCTGTACACAGTAACCAATGTACGTACAGTAAACTCTCCAGTGAGAAACTGCACTAGCAGCTGCTACCACACCTACTAGAATCATAGTGCCAAAAAGTGAAAGAAGAGACTAAATACACCTAAAGGCTTCTCTTAAAGAAGGAAGTTGTACTTCACTACAGTTAAGCATTTCAACATTGACTAAGAAGACAAGAGATACCTTCCTCTTACTGAAGGAAAGAATCTCAATATATATGGATGATCCTGGTGAACTTACTACCCACCTCTACATTTATTAGAGATTTTTAAAGCCTAAGCGCTATGCAACTGTATATTGCAAAGCTGCTCTTAGTGGCTTGTTAAACCACATGCTGC